ATAAACCTGCGGACCCTTCCTGTCCTGACCCTTCAAAATAAACCTGCGGAGCAACTTCCTGTCCCGACCCTTCAATATAAACCTGCGGACCCTTCCTGTCCTGAACCTTCAAAATAAACCTGCGGAGCAACTTCCTGTCCCGACCCTTCAACAGAGGAGTTCTCTCGCTGTGAGAGCTGCACGGCCTTCTGGGTATTCTTGAAAATGAAGTCCAGTGAAAACTCCGGAGTTTCTCTAATTAGCGTTTTAAAAGTCGGACGTTGACGTCACGGTTCTTCGCCGATTTAAAACGCTCGTTTATAACGAAACGTAACAAAGTTGATTTGAGTTGGAGCCATTTCTGTTTTCTGGTCGTCTGTGGCAGCCATCTTGAATCAGGTCGACTCCAAGCGTTAACCCATTACAGACAAACTGCTAATAATTATTTGGAGATTTAAAATATTTGTTGGTTCACAAAATATTTGTCAACAGGAAAAGAAAAACAATCACCCCTTTCACAGCAGAGGGCGATAATGTAACTGACACAGGACTCAACCAGAGAAATTGAATTTCTGTGAAAATACAGTGTGAAAGAAGAACTTGCTGAGAAACAGCTGAAATTAGCTAAAAACATGCTTAAATGTAGCTGAAATGGAAAAACAAGCCAAAATTTGCAGAAGAAAATGAAAAGAGCACATTTTTACTAAATTGGGTTTAAATAAGCAGAAATTAGCATTAACAACAAAAACAGGCTGAAAAGTAGCTGAAAGGCCTGAAAGAAGCTTAAACTACCAGAAAGAAATGGGAAGAGTTCAAATAAGGCAATAAAAAAAAGTGGAATAAGATGAAAAAACTCAAATTAGCATAAAAACAGCTAAATAGTAGCTGAAATAAGTGAAACTAGCAAAATTAAGCTGAAAGGAGCTTAACAAGCTGAAATTAGCAGAAAAAAGTTAATTAGGCTGAAAGGAGCAGAAATTACCATGAAATACTTTAATTTATATGAAAACAGCCACAAATAGCTAAAAACTACTAAAAAGGTAGCTGAAAAGGTAGAACAAGCTTAAATTAGCAGAAGAAAGCAGAAAGAACATGTTTGCTGAAAGAAGCAGAAATGAGCATAAAAAGGTGGAAATTATCTGGAAAAAAGCTGAAATTAGCAACAAACAAAAAAAACAGCTGAAAAGTAGCCAAAAAAAAAAAAAAAAGCAGAAGCAAGCTGAAATTACCAGAAAGAAGTGGAGAGAGCATATTTTTCTGAATGAGGCTAAAATAAAGGTTGAAATGAGTCCACATTGTTTGCAATTAGTTGAAAAAGCTCAAAATAGCACAACAGCTAAATAGCAGCTGAAATAGTAGAAAATGCTGAAAGTAGCAGAAATAAGCTGAAAGGATCATAAGCTGAAAGTAGCAGAAATACATTAGCAGAAGCACAAAACGGTTGTAGTTAGAAGTCTTCGCATCCTTCTCCTGAAGTAGCTGAACATTTTCATACTTAAATTGCTTAAATAGCTTAAAAACTGCAGGACAAGAACTGCGCTGAAAAACGTACTGAAACAGTAACAGCCAGGAATAATAATATAAACAGGAAAACAACAGTGTGAATGCTCGATAAGCAGTCACACCATTAGCTGTGAAATTTACCATCTTGGCTGCAAATTAAATCTGACGTCTCCTAAAAATTATGTTTGAAGTGGCGTTGTGTCCTAAAACGCGTCGTCTTCAGAACAAGCGCGGTGGCGCCGTGAAGAATCGACACGAGTCCGGTCTGAGCCGTTCGTCGAAGTGAAACGGAGCGACTCCAGAAATATTTAGGCTGAGTCAGTGGGAGAAACACAAACGCTGCAGGAAAGCTGTGCAAACACCCAACACGCATGGAAACACGTTTATTTTCCTCCAAACTCGCCACAACCGAGTCTTTCTGCCAAACACTTGTTACCGTACAGCCGAGAGGAAAGACCGGGGCAGTGAACGCCACACGGCTTTAAATCCAACCCCATCGCTCTGAGCTTTCACTGGAGGTCTGCTCCGAGATGTTTTGTGGTTTTGGTCCATTTGATCATCAGCATCTATCAAATCCAGACATGGGAACTGTTCTTCACGTGTCTCACCGTGTCTCACCGT